ATTTTCACAGTGACAGACCTGCTCGCTCTGAGCACCAGTGCTGATTCAGCTGCACACAGGGAGCACCAGGGACTTACAGGGAAACATTGTCGGAGTGAGGGGCTAGGTGAGACTCTCTTGGTACAAAAGTGCCAGCGGTCCCCATTGTTTCCTGTTGAGCCCTCCCTACTCCCAGTGCATGGACACAGCGCCACCATAGCCGTGACATCATGAAACTGGATAACAGAGGTCCTTCCGCCCAGAGGATTCCCTGAAACTCCTCCTCCCTCAACTCGTGGCTCCACCCAAGCCACATCCAGGTGTATCCTCAGTGAGTCAGGTGCCCCTTGCTGAGCAGCTCCTAGACTCACACTGGAGGCAGCTGGCCTCGGTTCTGGTATGGCCTTTTGAGGCAACTATAAGCACAGCATCTGTGGATTGCTTGCTGAATCTTAACAGGTGGCCCCGGAGGGATAGAGGCTTGGGCTAAATTTGGCCTGCAGCTGAACCCCTCTCTGGACTGTGCCATTGGACACCTACTACACAAATCCACACTAATAAGACCAGGAGACTTAGGAGCTTTGCTTAGTACATAGAAACAAACATGGAAAGGCAGCCAAAATGGGAAGACAAAGCAGCAGAAACCATATGAGAGAACAGAACAGAGATCCAGATATAATGGAGTCAAGTAATCTAACAGATGCGGAGTTCAAAACACTGGTTATAAAGATGCTCAATGAACTTTTGGGATGTGTAGAGAACTCCAACAAAGAGATAAAAAAATAAAAATGGAAATTAAAACTATAAAAAGGAACCAGTTTGAAATGGAGAACACATTATCTGAGATGATAAGTATATTAAATGGAATAAACAAAGGAATAAACAAAGTGGATAAAGAAAAAGATCAATTGCCATATCTAGAGGACAGGAAAGCCAAGGACACTCAATCAGAATGGCAAAAAAAAAAAGATGCCAAGACTATAAAAATAATTTAAGGAGGATATTAAGGTCCAAATATCTGTCTGATCGGCGTAACTGAAGAAAATCAAGAGGTTGAACAGCTGTTTGAAGAAATAATGATGGAAAACTACCCTAACCCAATGAAAGAAATGGACATAAAACCCCAGGAAGCTCAGAGAATTCCAAAAATCAGAGATCCAAAGAGGCCCACACCAAGACACATCATAATTAAAATGCCAAAGGCTAAATACAAAGAAAGAATATTAAAGCAGCAAGAGAAAAACAGGTAGTTACCTATAAGGGGACACCCATAAGACTGGCAGCTGATTTCTCAAAAAAAACTATGCAAGACAGAGGGCTTGGCAAAAAAATATTTGACAGGATGAAGACCCAGGATCTACATCCAAGAATACTTTATCCAGCAAAGTTATCATTTAGAGTTGAAGGACACTATAGCCATGCCACCGTGAACATGCCTGATCTCGTCTGATCTCGGAAGCTAAGCAGGATCGGGCCTGGTTAGTACTTGGATGGAAGACCACCTAGAAATATCAGGTGCTGTAGGTGTTAAAAAAAAATAAAAAGAGTCGAAGGACAGATAAAGAGCTTCCCAGACAAAAATAAACTAAAGGAATTTATCGCCTTCAAGCCAGTATTATAGGAAATGTTGGAGGGACTTCTTTAAGAAGAAAAAAACACGTATCAAAAATAGGAATAAAGAATGGTAACAACTACAAAAAGAAAAAGACAAGACATTTAAAATACAGGCAAGTCAAATTTAGATTTTAATAAGGACAGCAGTGCAAATGATGTCATTGCTTGGCTTAAACAAGAACTTTAAACTATGAAGTGGTCTTTGACAAGACAACACATATAATGTTGAATGTAAGAAAAAGGAGGTACATTTTTTCCTTTTCAAGTTCACAGACCACCTGAAATCTATTCCCTGGGCTACTGACACCTGGAAGAAGATAGAGCAGGTCTCCTGGAGAGGAGCACTGCCTGAGGTGACCTTGTGGGAAGGTAGCCATAGGAATGAATACCCTGAAGCTAATGTCCTTCTTCCTGCTGTTTCCTGCCAGGCTCTCCATCAGCCAAAACCAACTAGAAGCCAAAGGTGCCCTTGATGTGGTTTGTACAGGTTAGTCTCCTGGGCAGAAAGCAGAGCAGGAAAAGGAAAATGGAGGGGCAAACAGAAGTCATCCAGGACACAGACATGGACAAGCTTTCTGACCGGTATGTTCTCTTCTTGTAGGTACACCCTATGGGACCTCATTCTAACCAGCAGTTTCCCCTGGAGAGCATGGAATTATAACAAGGGCCCTTAGCGAAATGCTGCCAGTTCCATATGGATTCTAAGCTCACAGGGTTCCAGCAGGTCATTTTTTAAGCCAGTTTAGCATTCTCTCCCTGATCGCTTGACTGGACACTCACAAATCTGGCCTTAGTGTCTCCTTCTTTTTTCTGCCTCCAAGGTTGACCAGCAACACTACCCACTGACCTGTGCTTAAGCTGCGTTGACATCTTCACCCAGGGTTCAGCAAGCTTTTCAGGCTTAGGAGTCATTCTATTGCTTTAGGGCAGTGGCTCTTAAACTTGAGTGTGTGTATCAGAATCATGAGAGGTGCAAGTTAAAAAAGTTATTGTTAGGCCACATCCCCAGGGTTCTGGTTCATGAGCTGGGGCCCAACGGTGTGCATTTCTAATACGCTTCTATGTGATGCTGGTGCAAGGACCACTCACTGAGAACCACTGCTTTAAGGAGATTCTGCGTATCTCTGCTCAGATCTAGATTTTGCAGCCTAAGTGTCAAAGAATTATCGACTTCCTTTATTTCCACGTTCTCGGTGGATTCCTTGCTGTAGTCCCTACTTTGCCCCCTCGCAGCTCTCTACCCCAAAGCCCCACCTCCTCTTGAGCCCTAACTACTGTGAGCTAGCCCTCTCTGTGGTCCAGGGAGCTAGGCTCCTGAGTTTGGGTAGGAGATGTCTTCTTGTATGTCTGCTCTTCACAGGCTTTCCCCACATCTGTGTTTAGGCTGAGTTTCATTCTCCACTCACTTGCCCTGCTAGATACTCTACTCTTCACTTTTGTCCCTTGTTCAGAGCACCTATCACTTTATCCCAGAAAGGTTTTCTTAACATCTAAGCTCTACCTCACCATAGTAGTCTGCCAAGCCATCCTGGATAGAAAAACCATTCTAGGAGGCAAACTCAGTCTGAATAAAAGCCAGAGTTTTTCCGAATGGCCCTATACAACCTGGCCTCATTCCCTTCACACATCTGGCTCCAGCTACACTGACCTCCCCACTGCTCCACAGATACTCTAGATATCCAGACTTGTTCTCACCTCAGAACATTAGCCTTTCCTGTTCCCTCTACCTCAAATTCTCTTCTCCCATATGGCTACATGGCTTATTCCCTCACCTCCTTGCAATCTTTGCTTAAATATTACTTTCTCAGTGAAGCCTCTCAGACTACTCTATTTAAAACTGCAGTCCAGCGGAAGGAGGGTCGGGGGAGAACAAAGAGGGTAAAGAGGGTCAAATACATGGTGATGGAAGGAAACTAGACTTTGGGTATTTAGCACAAAATATAGTTGTAGTATAAAGTTGTACACCTGAAACTTATATAATGTTATGAACCACTGTCACCCCAAAAAAATTTTAATTAAAATTTAAAAAAACCTGCAGTCAACCACGGCACTTCCTGTTCTCCTTCCTTACTTTGTTTTTCTCCATAGACAAACTACTGCCTATAATTTTGTTTATTTTTATTGTCTCTCGTCCCCAATTAAACTGTCCCTGAGGACAAGAGTTTACTGGGTTCACTGGGCTTAGAAGCATGCCTGGCATATAGTAAGTATTCAAAAAATCGTTGTTGAGTTAATATATGAATAAAGAAGTTAATTTTCCCCACCAGGCACTGAGACTATGGGGAGTACAGGGCTGCAGCTTTCTCAGCAAGGGGAGAGACAACTGCAATAACGGGAAGTCAAGAAGTCAAAGTCCTCAACATCTTCCCCCACCTGCATGGGTCAGGGAGAGGGCAGTGAGAAATGAAAACTCCCAGCTGCAGAAGGGAAAGTAGGTTGAGGGGGGAGGAGAAGGATAGGTGTCTCCATCAATGCTGAAGCAGGGTGGATGGAGTTCTGGGCAGGGACAAAAGGGTCTCGATGAGGGGGACACTCCTCACCTTCCCTAGACATGACCAGCCAAACAGAGCAGCAAGGGGGATGAAGGGTTGGCCTAAGGAGGGCACTTATCAGGCCTACTCACCTGCTCTGTTGAACTCACAGTGACCAGCACCCCCACCACACACATACACTCACACATAAGCCTCATGTCAACCTCAACCCCTGACTCTTGTGTCCATACATGCTGCCTCTCCTAGCACCACTTTCAGTTCCTTCAAAGAATCTACTTAAATTCTTGAATTCCTGAGCTCTGTAGATTTTACTAAAGATTCCAAAGGGGATAAGATCAGGGAATGACATTGTACATCCTAAAGCAAACGAATTAAAATGCCTCTGTTAGACATGTCCATATTTCCAAGTGCCTCTCTGGAGCCACCAAGCTGGGAATGAAGTTTCCCTCCCTTTGCAGACCCTGCACCCATCCTGCCACTCTCCCAGACTTCAGATTCTTCTCCCATCCACAACGCAGAAAAATCCCAGTCAGAAAAATCCCTTCCTTGACTGTGTGCCCAGATTCACGAAACCTGACAAAATGCAAGGTCTTAGAGTTACCTGAATCTCTGGACCTGTTCAAAGGCCATTTGTTCCTGAGAATAAATGCCCCTGGGGTCTTACTGCCCTTCCCCCTCACTTCCAGTGGCTTATCAAAATATTTTTTTCATGCACACACAGGGCTCTCCTTAAGAAGAATTTGGGAGAATGTTATTTTCTCATCTCCATTCTACACCCAGCTCCACCTTCTTCCTGAGGGGCCAGTGTCAGCAGAAGCTGATGGGGAAGTGAAGCCTGGAAGTAGAGGAGGAGGGAAGGAGGGGAAAGGGGAAGTTTGGGAGAGAGGCCTCCCAGAAGGCTGTGAGAAAGGAAAACTGGCAGACAGAGAGACAGCTTGTCTCCACCAGCACCTCCACCAGCATCTGCTGAGCCATGAGCCAAACCCGGGATTTACAGGGTAGGGAAGGTGTAACAGGCAGAAGCCTCAAATGGGAGTGAGGAGACAACAGACCTGGGCCAAGTTCTAGGAAGGCAGTGAGCTGGCCTAGGAAGGCAGAATTGTGGTGGCTCTGGGCTGCTGTGCGGGTGAGGAGAGGAAGGAAGGTAAGGATATATTAACCTTTGTGTCCCCTCAGGAGGAAAAGCCTTTGGACTGCTGAAGGCCCAGCAGGAAGAGAGACTGGATGAAATCAACAAGGTGAAAGGAAGGACTAAGGAGTCAGGGCCTGGGGAAAGGGGTCCCCAGACCCAGAGGACCTACCCTAGCTCTGGCTTTCCCCCACAGCAACTCCTGGATGATCCCAAATACAGCAGCGATGAGGATCTACCCTCCAAACTGGAAGCCTTCAAGAGTGAGGGGGAAACTGTAGGGGCGGATGGGAGGTGAGGGGGTAGGATTTCTCCAAGAACAGAGAGGGGACAGCAGAGACACAAAGTCTATTTTTGTGGTGGCAAGAAGGAAGTCTGCCTCTACTGCCTGCTGGTTGCAGTCCCCTTCCCTGGCCAGCGCCTCTCAGCAGCCTCTCTAGTTTGGGACACCTTAATAGGACTCCTCAACTGCCCAACCCACACTTCTCCTTCCACACCTTCTCCTTCCACACCTTCTCTCCGATCTAGCATTCAATAGCAACTCCTTTCTCAGTCCTCTTGCCTGCCCCTGCCTGTGCCCCTCTAGCCAGAGCTTACCCTCTCCGCTTTCTTCCCTCACCCAGAGAAATACATGGAGTTTGACCTGAATGGAGACGGAGATATCGGTGAGAAAAGGGTGATTTCGGGGACTGTGCAGACCTAGGAAGAGGGCAGTGTCTCATACAGTTCCATTACTGATGGTTTGGGAAAGCTACCAGAGTAGGAGAAAGGGAATAAGAATATGATGGGGGGTGGGGTGGGTGGAGAGACTCTTCCTCTTCTCACTCCTATCCTCTACCTCCAGATATCATGTCCCTGAAGCGAATGCTAGAGAAACTGGGGGTCCCCAAGACCCACCTAGAGCTAAAGAAATTAATCAGGGAGGTTTCTGGTACCTCTGGGGAGACATTCAGCTACTCTGACTTTCTCAAGATGATGTTGGGCAAGAGATCTGCCATCCTAAAAATGTGAGTGTTCACATCTAACTTCCTCTATACTTACCTGTTTTCTCCCCACCCCCACCCCCAGCCCCAGGCTCACCTTCTACATATTACTCAGCATCTATCTCCTCTATCCTTTGAGGGACTCTTCCAAGGTCCTACCCCCATCCGTGGTCTGGTCCCCACAGACCCCAACTCTCTCACCCCTGCCCTCCTTCTTCCTCCTCCCACCCTTGCAAGCACTATCCTCTTCTAAATTTTCATAGCAGCCTAAGATTTATTCTCTTGAGAGGACTGTTCCCTGATCCCTGTGTCTCTTCTCATCTCATCCAGGATCCTGATGTATGAGGAGAAAGCAAGGGAGCAGGAGAAGCCAGCAGGTCCTCCCGCCAAGAAAGCTATCTCTGAGTTGCCCTGATTTGTGGTGGGGGGAAATTTGGTGGGATCAAAGGGGCTTCTAATAACTCGAAGACAAAATTGTGAGCCAGAGTCAAACCAAAATAAATTCTCCTTCTCCTCCAGATCAAGTCATCTTGGTCTCTGTTTGGGGGAATTTTTTTTCCTGGGGTTGGAAAGGAGTGAAGCATCTTTGAGGCGAGAGCAGCAAGGATTTGCCCAGATGAGCAATCTATCACCAATTGTGTAGTGTGTCTACTACAGTAGGTGGTGTGGTACACCAAAGGGGATTCCAGATATATAATGTAGCCTTTACCCCAAGGAAGTTAGGTAGGATGAAAAGACATGTACAGACAAAAATATCACCCAGGCCCATGGTGAAGAGCAAGGATTACCTTTAACCAACATTCTCCATCACTATAAGCTTTGTGATCTTAACAAATCACTACTCAGTCTCTCTTTTATCTGAAAATGAAGATAATATGACCCACCCTGCAGTGCCTGACATATCACAAGCCCTCAATAATATTCAAAATTTGAATGGATGGATGGATGAAAGAACTAGTGTTACTGAATGAAGTAAAGGAGTCACAATACTATAAAGCCTGATAATTGAAGTGTTAAATGAGTCATCGAGGTCCTTTTGGGGACAAACTACAGAAACTGAGTCTTAACAACAGGAAAAAGGGTTTGGATTAGGAAGATACTGAGGGCAGATGCTGGGGATACAGGATCTCTGGATGGCAGAAAGGGTTAAATAGCAAACCCCAGTAATTGGCCACTATTTCAGATTTCCCGACTCCCTAGAAAAAGAGAATGCAATTGGCCCAGCTTGTTTCATGTTCTGAGAACAGACCAGGCCACTGAGACCATCCATGTTAGCCCTTCTCAATGGTGAAGCCACACTAGTATCCTAAAGACTGCTACAGTGACTATACAGCACTTCAGACAAGGACAAGATTACTGAGTTAAAAAAAAAAATCTGAATATAACAAAATTAATAGCTGACCTCTATTGAACACCTATTATATACTAGATACCATTCTAAATGCTTTCCATGTATTAATTCATTTACTCTTCACAACAACCCTCATGAAACCAAGAAAGGAAGAAAGGATCTGGGTATCTTAAATAATGTGTTCATTCAGGATAAATTAGGTTATGTTCACACAATAGACTATAATTACACAGCAATGAGAATGAAGAAACTATAACTACATGCAACAATGTGGATGAAATTTATCAATATAATGTTGAGTAGAAGAAAACAGACACAAAAGAGCTCTTACTGTACTCATCTGTATAAAGTATAAAAACAGGTAAGACTAATACATGTTGTTATAAGGATAGTAGTTAGCCTTGGGGAAGGCTCACAAGAGGCCAACCGAGCAGATGGAAAAGAAAGGCCTCAAGATGAGACATGCCTGGTGTAGGTAGAGAGAATGATAAAATCAGAGACATGAAAGGGGACCAACTCATCTAGGATCTTATAGGTCACTATAAAAACTTTGGTTTTTATTCTGAGAGAAACAGAGAGGTATTGCACGGCTTTGAGCAAAGGATTTTTTTTTTTTTTTTTTTTTTAGGCCTCTTTGAAAAAAAGCCAACTCTAGCTGCACTTATAGAGAACACAGTAGACTGTAGAAGCAGGTGTAGACTCAGGAAGACCAGTTGGGAGGCTGTTGCTGTAACACACATGAAAGATGAGGATGGTTCAGATGAAGGTGAAAGTACTGGAAGAGAAGAGGTTGGATTCTGGATATTTTCTCAAGATAGTTCGATTTAGGACACACTGAATTTGAAATAATCTTTTAGATACCCAAGAGAAGATGTCAAGTACATAGCTGTGTATACAAGTCTGTAGTTTGAGAGAGAGGTCTCTGATGAAGAAATATATTTGGGAGTCATCAACACACAAAGGCATTTCAAGCCATGAGACTGATGTCTTTAACAAGCCCAGTATGGGTAGAGAGTAAGGGTGAAGGTCTGACTGAGTGGGTTTGAGAAGGGATGAGAGGAGAGAGATTGGAGACTGTATAAACAGCTCTTCCAAGAAATTTTGCTGTGATAGCTGACCAGGGAGAGGTGTCCTCTATGTTTGAGTCATTTCTGATTACTTTCTTTGTGTTTCTCTGATTCCGCATATAAGTGACATCATGTGGTATTTATCTTTCAGCCTTATTTCATTCAGCGTAATAACCTCTAGGTCCATCCATGCTGTTGCTAATGGTAGAATTTCATTTTTTTAATGGCTGTGTAATATTCCGTTATATATATATGAACCATAACTTCTTTAGCCAATCATCTGTTGATGGGCTTTTAGGTTGCTTCCATATCTTGGCTATTGTTAAGTTGGGCTGCTATGAACATAGATCTTTATAAATTATTGTTTTGGTTTTCTTTGGATAAATACCCAGAAGTGCAATTGCAGGGTCAAAAGGCATATCCAGTTTTAATTTTTTGAGAAACTTCCAGTTTTCCATAGTGGCTGTACCAATTTGCAATCCCACCAACAATGTATGAAAGTTCCCTTTTCTCCACATCCTTGCCAACACTTGTTCTTTGATTTATTGATGATAGCCATTCTGACAGGTGTCAGGTGCTATCTCACTGTGGTTTTAATTTGTATTTCTCTGACGATTAATGACCTTGAGCATCTTTTCAAATACCTATTGGCCATCTGTATTTCCTCTTTGGAGAATTATCTAATCAGGTCTTCTGCCCATTTTTTAATTGGATTTTTTTTTTTTTGGTCGAGTTCATCTCAGCTATCTTAATGGGCCTCTGGATCTTGCTAATTTTTCTGCTCTCATTTTCCATCATACGCAGTTCCTTAATTTACCACACCAGCCTAGGTACAGATCCCCAAACCCATGCCTCCACTCATCAGTTTATTGGGCCTGAGATATGTACCCTCCCCTCAAACCTGACTAAATCCTAACTAGTTCTTCATATCTCTTAATAAGAGTCACGTTTTTCTAGAAGCATTTCTGAACCTTCCCAGGCAAGGTCTCATTTTGTTCCCCTACTTCTATAATATTCCGTGCATATCTCTGCTGCCTTCAAAACACAGTTGCTGAACTGGTAGTAGGTCTGACTGGAACAGAGTAATAAATTAAAGATTAATAAGGAGACAAAGAAGGGTCAAGTACCTCATTTCGTAGAATGAAATCCATTGTGAAGAGAATACAAATTGCCAACAATATCAGATATACAAATACCTTCGTGAAAATTAGTTATAAAATTACATGCCCGTCTTGTCATTTCATTGGTTGCCAATATTTTGATGAATAGGTCATTCCTAGCTTACCTTTGTTCAAATGATTTGCATGTATTATGCAAATAAATAGAACTGCCTAAAGAATGCCCATGCTGCGTGATGTCCACGATACACTCCCCTGGACCCTTCGATTGGTCCATCTACCCACCTCATTTGCATGACAGGATTTAATAAATTAAAGACCTCGTCCCTCTGTATTCACCTCTCGCGAAAGGACGCGTAAATTGTGACTTCCTTGGTTACGTAAGCCCCGCCCCCCAGCGCCTAATCCCTTCCGCCCTGTCCTCTCTCAGTTCCCTCCGCTAAAAGCGCCACGGACCCTGTATCGTTTCCTTCCACTCTCGGCGTCCCTACGTCTCTCTGCTTCCATTTTTCCACGAACGCACGGCGCACGCTCCGCCTCACCCCCTTCCCCCGTGCAAATTCTGCACCCCAACCGCCTGGTCGACAGGCGCCACATTCCCGCCCCCTCTACACGTCTCAACGGCCGACGCCGAGGGGCCCGCCTCTGCAGCCAATCGGCGTCCTAGCGCTGTAAGCCCCTCCTCTTATGCAGATAACCTATGGCAGCTCCTCACGCCCTGTTTTTTTTTTGTTTTTTTTTTTAAAGTAAGAAGAGCCCTGGAAGTAAAGAGGAAAAATAGAAAGTGCCCGCCCCTTATGCAAATAAAGGGGCGTGTCTGTGCGCGGAGGGAGGCGGGTGGGGGGGCACTCCCGGGGGCGGCGGTTGCCCGGATGGGCCGTTAGTCGGAGCCCAGCCGCGGAGTGAGCGAGGGAGACGGGAAGAGCCGAGCCCGGCGCCATCCGCCGCCATCCGCCCCCACCCCACCGTCATCCCACCCCGGGGCGCCCCTGGGCCCCAGTCCCGGACCCCCGCGCACCCGGCCAGGTGAGTCTGGGTGAGCCGAGTGCTCACGCCCTTTTCCATTGCGGGAGCGGCGGTGGCAGCGGCGGCGGCAGCGGCGGCGGTGGCGGGCCAGCGGGGGGAGGAGAAGCTGCCATTAGCCGCCGCCATTTTGTCCTCCTACAGCCGGGGCCTGGCCTGCCCCTCCCCCTCTGGTACCACCTCTTTGAGACCCGCACCTTCAGCCCCTCTCGGAGTCTATAGCCAACTCCTGCCCATCCACCTTCATGGCTCCATGCAGCGATCCCTTCTCCTGGGGCCGTAACTCCCCATCCTCCGCTGTGCTCTAGGCATCTCACCCCTATTTTCGGGCCCCCTTCGCCGCCGCAGCTCAAGAGTGGGCCGCGCCCCACCGTTCTTTTGGAGAGTCTCTTTTCCTCCATATTGGACTCCCTCCCATCACCTAGAGCTAGAGTACCCCCTTCTTGACGCCCTTTTTTGCGTTCAGTCACTCCCACTCTGGAACCCTGCTTTTATCCCGCATATTTGCTTTCTACGTTCCTGATCTCTCCTTTTTCCTGTTCCTTCTCTTTTCTATCCCAACCCCCTTTTATTCCTGGCTCTCGACATTACCACCTTAAGTTTGCATCCTTTTCTTACTATTTCTGTTTACGTGTAGTATTTCTCACCTTCTTTCACCTTGTTTTATTAATCTTAGTCTCTTCATGATTTTTCTATCCCCTTTTCCTTCACCTACAAAGCAACCCCTAACTGCCATCCTCTCATCTAACCTGTTTTAAAGTTCTCCCCACTTTTAGTTTTCATCCTGATCCTGTCTCGATTTCCTACCACCTCTCATCTCTTTTCGTTACACCATTCCTCCTTATAAATGAATGCATGGTCACTTCCGAAGTGACCAACTATGGAGACTTTGACCTGCGTGGGGAGCAAGGGATGTTAGGGAAAGAAAGGACTGTTGATGGACTTTCTTACCGAGGGTCAGAAAATGAAGTTCGTTTTGGCCTTGGCCCCATGGTTACAGGGTGCTCTTGAGGTGGCTCCAAAATGCTTTGTTTTCTCAAACGTCTACATAGGATAGGCCAGAACCCGCCAGCATTGCCTCTGGAAACAAGGTAGTTCCATGAGCAATTCTATGCCACCAGCCTCCAGTCTGGCTGAGCAAGCTCATAAAATCTTTAAACTCCCTGCATACCTTCCTGCAAACCTACCCCAGAGGGGAGTGAGGCTGCTGAGAATGGAACCTGGGGCACAGTTAGGGAGCTGGTGTCTAATCAGTTGGTGTCTAAAGCTCTATTCCTTGCACGATGGAGCTGTGCACCTCTTTCTGGTTTTCTCTGGGGCTTGAATTTGCCTTGTTTTATCGCAGGTCTCTGAAATGATTTGTTGAAGAGATAGATTATTCATGGGAATAATGAAGAGGCTGCTACCTTTTATAGACTGGCATAAAGGGGAGAGTATACTAGGAAGATACTACATTTTTATTTGGGTTTCTTTGATAAGAGATTTCTGGGTGAAAGAGGGAAAGTGGTATTTGGGCTCTCTGGGAGCTGAGTTGATTATGGTTGCTTAAAAGGAACTGGGAGTTTGAATAGGCTGGAGGAAAAGACACCAGAGGGCCACATATCTGGGCCCCTAAAGAAAATGAAAGAGAACGTCTAAGCTTTTATTGGGAGTCTGTAAGAGGAGCAGAAACTGAAACACTGGGTGTTTGGCCCACAGGTTCCGGCACGTTTTGGGGGAGGTGCCTGCAGGACCCAACGTACTCAATGAGCTTCCAGCGCAATGTCCGATCGCTCGGGGCCGACTGCCAAGGGGAAGGATGGAAAGAAGTATTCCTCGCTCAACCTGTTTGATACGTATAAGGGCAAGTCCTTAGAGATCCAGAAACCTGCTGGTGAGGGTCCTGCAAAGATACTCCTAATTATTGGAAGCTGAGCATGAATGGGGCATGCATTTTAGAGCTCTTTGAAGGGAAATGGCTATAATACAGATTGTCAAAAAACTAAAGAGGAACACTAGAGACTCCCCAACTTTATCTTGGGTCGCATGGGGGATATTGGGCTTTGGATAAACACTAGTTATCCTCCTACAGAGGCGTGTCTGTGGTTGCTTGTCTTTGGACATGTAAGAATTGAAGGCAAAGAAATGTGGGCTTGGAGAAGTCTGGGGTCAGCTTGCTCCCTAAAGTCTCAGGATCACTCATCCCACATAGAAACATTGAATATAATGCCTCTCAGCCTTCCTGATAGGATTTTAAAGATTACCAAGGGCAAAGGAAGGGATGGTTTCTAAGAGAAGTTTAGTGGTAAGACACTGATAATATCTAAATAGAGCTTAGGTTTAAGATCTCCCAGGTGAGGCATTTTTTATCCTTCATCTTTTCTCCAGTTGCCCCTCGCCATGGCCTGCAGAGTCTTGGGAAAGTTGCCATTGCCCGGCGTATGCCACCCCCAGCCAACCTTCCAAGCCTGAAAGCCGAGAACAAAGGCAATGACCCCAACGTCTCACTAGTGCCGAAAGACGGAACAGGATGGGCAAGCAAACAGGAGCAGTCCGACCCCAAGAGGTCAAGAGAGGTTTGGGGGACCTAGAGGGATAGATACTTGAACTTTGAACTTCAGGATGAATTGCTTTAACCCAGCCACAAGGCCAGAGACAAAAAGGGAAGCCCCTCTCTTACCTATTTCAGGATTCCTATTAGATCAGGGGTCCCCAAACCCCAGGCCATGGACCAGTACCAGTCTGTGGCCTGTTACAAACTGGGCCATGCAGCAGAGGTGAGCGGCAGGCAAGCAAGTGAAGCTTCATCTGTATTTGCAGCTGCTCCCCAGTGCTAGCTGGCATCACTGCCTCAGCTCCACCTCAGATAGTTGGGCATTAGATTCTCATAGGAGCACTGGTCCCTGGTGCCAAAAAAGTTGGGCACTGCTATGTTAAGAGGACTAAGGAATGGTAACTTTAGCTTTGTCAGATGGAAAGAAAGCGTGAAGAAACAGATGACCGCTTCTGTGGGGTAATAATAGTATTTTGTCCTAATATTTGTAATCAGGAGCAAATAGGCCTGGATTCAGTTCCTGTTCTCCAGTTAGAGAAGTAGGGAACACTCCTGGATAACTTTCTCGTTCTTTCATTTCCTCAGTTCCGATGCCTCAACCGTTCAGCTGCCGGAATCGCAGCCACTGCTGGCTTCACAGACGCCTGCCTCGAACCAGCCGAAACGACCCCCAGCAGCCCCCGAGGTACCAGAAGAATTGGATGTTATTGAAAGGGTGAGAGGAAAAATATATTCTGTCTCATTATTTAACGTCACTATTTCTTATCTATGCTTCCCCAGAACACTCCTTCAGTTCCAAGCGGGGTAAAGTCCTGGGCACAAGCCAGTGTCACCCATGGAGCACATGGAGATGGTGAGTGCAGGGCTATTTGGGGAGCTCGCTCTGGCACTCCGGTAGGCAGGATCCCTCCATTGTACCTTCGGCGAAGTATCCTTAGTCCTTTGACTAAATATTGGAGTCCATATTCAGCTTCATGGGGCACATGAGCATGTTTGTCTCAGTCTCATATGAGGGTGAGGAGGGTGTCCCAAAACTGATGTTTCTTTGGAAATGAGCATCTTGTGTATAGGGGGTGAGTTTGAAGGCAGGAACCTGATGCTCTGGTGTCTATCAGGACTTTCCCCATTCATGGTGCATCCTCAGTAAGTATACTTCTGTCTTCTCTGCTCCCCAACCTTGACAGGTGGAAGGGCATCAAGCCTACTGTCACGATTCTCTCGAGAGGAATTTCCGACCCTGCAGGCGGCTGGCGACCAGGACAAGGCTGCCAAGGAAAGGGAGTCTGCCGAACCGTCGTCTGGGCCCGGACCAAGCCTCCGCCCCCAAAGTGAGTGG